TTTAGAAACCACTCACCTTAAAAAGCTTTTGAAACCCAAAACACTAGAATCAATCCTTCTTGAAACTTGACACTTGAAAAACAACTTGCAATCACCTTCTCTTAATAAGCCGGACAACACTTGTCTTAAAACCTCTCAACTTTCTTCTCAAATGACARGAAAATCAAAGATAAGGGRTGAAGCCCCTTTTATACTTTCCCAAAAGGGAAAGTCGGCTAAACTCACAAAACTACATGCAAGCACMCACATTCTTCTTGCACATTCATGCATACATACATATAATATATATATCCATATACATCATACATAGCTCATTTATGCATCAAATATATATATATATATATATATATATTTATATATATATTTTAAATTCACGAATTCTCATACCAACACGTATCAAATTATCATGCTGTCACATAATTATTAAATCAAATAATCACGTATTAAATACCTTGGGTAATAACCAAGATCTGGTTATCACATGACCTTCAAGCCCTCCCTCAATATTGTCCGGGCTCGGCTTAATTGGAACCTCCCTTAGCTGTTTGTCCTCTTGTGATGTGTCTTTGGTGGTGTGAGCTCCTTTGCCCTCTTGTTTTTCTTGGTGCGGTATAGGGTGTGCTTGTTTTAGGCCCCTTTTACTTCCCTTGTGGTGTCCTCCGTTGCTTCCCGGTCTTGACTTCTTTTTCCTCTCCCCTTCTTCCTCTCTCTCTCTCCCCCTCTTTCTCTGTTCCTTTTCTTCCCTCCTTTCTTTCTCTCTTTCTTTCTCTTCTCGTTCTTCTCTCTGTCTCCCTCTCTTCTTTTCTTTCTTCTTTTCTGTATGTCTCCTTCTTCCCCCTCGGGGTGCCTTGGTTATGCTGGTGGTTGAGGGTGGTTGAGGTTTCCTCCCACCCGCGCGCTTCATTGTTGCTTTTAGCGTTTTAGTGTTTTGCCTTGATCTGGAGGGGTCTCCCCGCTCCCTAGCAAAAAAACCTTAAACCCTAAACCCTTAACCCTTAACCCTAAACCCTAAACCCCTAACCCTGAACCCTACAACCTAAAACCCTAACCCTAAACCCTAAACTTGTGGCAGGAAAGGAATAATCGCATCTTCAAGAATAAAAGAGGATCGTATATTATGGTGGTGAAGACGATCACCGATGATGTCTGGTCCAGGCTCCTAAGCCTGACCTTCAAGCCCTCTCCTAATGTTGTCAGGGCTCGCCTTGCCTGAAACCTCCCTTAACTGCCTGTCTTCTTGTGCTTCCTCTCTGGTCTCATGAGCTCCTTTGTTCTCTTGTTTTTCTTGATGCAGTCTAGGGGTGTGCCTTTTTATGCCCCTTTTTCCTACTCTTGTGGTCCCCCCGTTGTTTCCCGGTCTTGGCTTGGTTGGGCCCTTCCCTTGTGGTTGGTTTCTTTCTCTCTCTCTCTCTCTCTCTCTCTCTCTCCTTCTTTCTCTTCTCCCCCTCTTCCCCTCCTCTCTTTCCCCTCGGGGTGCCTTGGATTTTCTGGTGGTTGAGGTTTCCTCCCACACGAGCGCGTTATTGTTTGCTTTTAGCGTTTTAGTGTTTTTTTCTTGATCTGAAGGGGTCTCCCCCTTCTCTACCAAAAAAATCCTAAACCCTTATTCCCAAGAAAAATAAATGGACCTAACCCATTAAATCATGACTATATCCGCTATTCTGATATTCAAATTCAATAGAGAAAAAGGTCATCTCATTACCCATGATCAAAAGATCATCATTTCTAGAAATTGATTATGTCGCTCTTATCCCAATATACTCAGCTCTTTGATATGTCACTCTTATTTCCACACATGATATAATCATAATAAAAATCCACTCTTTTGCCAATAATGGCATCAAACTGTTTTATATTAAAATCTCATATAAAGAATCATGGTTCTTATACCTACTTTCCAAATAAGAAAAAATTTAAACAAAAACTCACCGTTATACTAAAAATAGTACATAATCATTCAAAAACACTCAAGTATGTAACTATACGGTTCTCTATTAAGACCATATCAAATGAAATTTTTAAGGTAAAACTTATAACTAAAAACACACCTTATGATCACAAAAATGAAGATGAACAGCAGAACATATTCAGATTATAATCACAAAATCAACTTTTACTTCTCCTTTTTTATTCTTGTTTCTCTCTAACTTTAGAACACATAAGTTTTTCTTTCTTTTCTTCCCCAAAACCAATGAGATAAGATAAACATCTTAGTACTCATTTTAAATATTAAGAGACGATGATGGGATTGATATTTTAAAATATTTTCTTCTCACACCCTCCCATGAGATAATAAAAATATCTCATAAAATAACCATATAAACAATAAAAGGCGGTGAGAATTTATAAACATTTAAGCACAAACAATTTAATCTCCTCAACTTATCACCATTATTTAAAACTAACCCTCAACTTTGTAATCGAAAAACCCGGTTATCACAAGTAGCATCTTGTTCCTTAAAATAAGCAAAGCATGAAAGCTTGTTTCGTTTAGTCCAAACAGGTACAAGTATAGTTATTTGTTGTTATTGTTTGTTTATACATATGAGATGGTACCCGGAAAGGGCTTTTTCTCTAGATCCTATTTCAAGTTTCTTTGAAATTTTATTTGTACATGCAGTAAGAACACAACCAAAAATGTGTTGGCACACAACTAAAAAGAAGAAATAAAATCATGAAATCTCTACACCCTCCTCCGGCTTCAGCAGATCTTTTTCTCTGTTGCTCCTGGGGAATCTCATGTCATAATACCAATAAAAAAAATCCAGAATAACCAGATGAGGGCTTGGCACAGGGTTTCTACACCTCGGGAAGCGCAAAGAGAAGATGCTAGGGATGTTCTTGAAGTACCTGAAATTGATGTCGAAGAATCTGATGACAGGAGACTAGGGAAAGCTAGCAGAGGATGTGGCAGAAGACATGGTATGGTGGGTGTGTGGCGGCCAAAATGGAGGACGAGCACGAGTTTGGATGGGACTACCATTACAGGATAGCAAGACTCGAACAAAATTATTGTTTTCTTTGGGCATCTCATTTACAATACAAAAATGACGGTGATAAACAGCAATTTAAATGCTAGTCTCGCCTATTCATTTGGTACATTCCTATAGCCAAAATACTTGAGAATTTATGCTCTCCATATTTCCATTTAGAAGTAAAGGGATCTCAGAAGTACCACTTGGGTCTGGTTTCTTCTTCTTTCTCTGTTAAATCTCGATATTGATACCATTCTCCTCCAAGCTTCCCCACCGGAAGTGGAGGCCGAATGAAAATCTCAACTGGCTTCGGGACATGAACATCTAGTGAAATCTCCATGGCCTCTTCTTCTACTAAGTTCAAACTCGCTTCTTTGAGTGTTTGGCTAACTGGTTCAACAGTTATCCATCCAAGACCCGAGATGGCCACATCACAAGCAGGTCTAAAAGGCACAAATATCTTTAGCTTTAATGTCATAGTATTCAATAGCTAGCTAGCATACTACAAAATACATACCTTTTTGTGTCATCGAATCTTATTTTTAATTGGCGAACAGTCTCAAGTCCTACCCAATCTGCTACTTGTTCTCCGCTTGGAGGTGATAAAAGAACCCCTACTTCTTTCTGCATACGTTACAAGGATCTTTTGAGTCAAAAAGGTCAAGTCAACTTTCAAAATTTACAATGATTCTTGCATGTAGGGTGTTAAGCTTGTAGCTCAATCCATATCGATTTTGTATTAGAAAATCATATCAGATGTTTATAGGGGGCAGCTTTTGATACCCAAATACCAGTATAAATAGAATCTGTTGCAAATGCATGCGAGAGACAATAAGCATTACTTTGTTATTTCTATATCTTACAAATTCAACAATACCTTGTAAAATTCATCTGCTTTATTCGAGGGTACTATATGAAGCTTTAGCGCCTTGGGTCCATAAAATGTTAAACATGATTCAGGAAGGGCCTGAAAAATTGAAACAAAATAATCATACGAACTCGGTATTCCCGTCGGGAGGTGGATGTACAAAGTAAAATAGTAAGAAAGTGAAATTACAATGTTACCTTCAAAACATCAATTCGAACAAGACCTCCCCAGAATATAGAAAAACCAGTTAAGCCATTAAACTCCATTTTCTCACTTACCCAATGATCCAAGACTAGCTGCTTCTGTTATACAGACAATATGAAAATGAAAATCAAAAGAAACTAAATGGTACCCTTGAAACCTTCAAGGGAGAGGTAGATACCGTGAATGATTGACCTCTGAGGCGACTGCGTGGAGCAAGGGCGGGTAAATCTTGAGAATGAATCACTGCAGCTTGCCTATGATGAAGATGAACTCCAGGTGTGTCGTATACTTTCTGAATTACAACACTTCAAACTTGAGAAATATCATTCATTTAAATTCGCTATAAGACGTAAAATGTAACATGCATACATACCCCTCCTCCAAGGAAAGCGTTAATTTGAATGGGGCCAACTGTGGTTCCAGGAACAGCAGATTGTATCGGTTTGTATTTTCTTGCCATTGCAGCAACCGGATCTTTATGTGAAAGCATCCCTGCATTTTGGGAACTTTCTCAAATGTAAATAACATTGCATAAAAACCGAATCAAAGACTAGCTAAGCTAACTAATCATCATACTTAGGGCTGTAAACGAACCGAACGAACACGAACGGAGGCTTGTTCGTGTTCGTTCGTTTAACTTAACCGAACAAACGAACGAACACGAACGGTAAACGAACGAAAATAATTGTGTTCATGTTCGTTCGTTTAGAAATCCGATGTGTTCGTGTTCGTTTATGTTCGTTCGTTAACAAGTTAAACGAACGTAAACGAACGAACATAAACGAACAGGCCTAACGAACATAAACGAACATAAAAGAACGTAAACGAACATGCCTAAATGAACATAAACGAACATGCCTAAATGAACATAAACAAACGAACACCCTCTTAAAAGCCCAATACTTAAAAAGATTTTAAATTTTGAATTCAAACTAAATAAATAAAAATTATATATTAAAATTAATACATAAACGAACTTAAACGAACATAAACGAACGAACGTTCACGAACATAAACGAACGAACGTTCACGAACATAAATGAACGAACGAGGCTCATGTTCATGTTCGTTCGTTTAACTAAACGAACAAAATTTTTTGTTCATGTTCGTTCATTTATTAAATAAACGAACATAAACGAACTTCCCGCCAAACGGTTCACGAACGGTTCGCTGAACGTTCGGTTCGTTTACAGCCCTAATCATACTCCTTCCATGAAAATTGCAACAACCACTTCCTGAAACTCAACTTGAGGAACTTTTCCTTTCATGTTTTTCTTCTTGACGAACAACTAATTGTCCTAGCAGAAAGAGGGTGGAATTTCGACCACATGGTCCCGGGTTCAAATCCGGCCCCACCCATCCTGCCCTAGGACATCGTGATTTACCTTCCATGATGGCCGTGGGATTCGTACAATGAGTTGCGCTGGAAGGTAATGCAAACTCTTTTTCACAACTTTATGGACTCCTATTTTCAAAAAAATTCATATTAAAAGGTTCAACCTAAACTTTGTGTATGCGTATGCAAAAAATATCTCAAACAAGTTGAATTTTGATAGAACAAAAAGCTCTACAGAATTAAAACATATAGTAAACATTGCAATATGTATATGCATAAGGGGATGGTTAGTTTGTTATAAGATAAAGAAATCAGATAACAAATAAAGATGATAATCTAAGTTTCAACAAAAACTAACTTACTCAATAATGCATTGATAAATGCAGATTTCCCGACATTAGCTGCTCCCTGTAGAGATGCAGAAAATTATCCCTGCTGTTTCAGTAAACGAAGAAAAAACCATATGGAACCTAAAGTTGTTATACTGGAATTCATTAAAATAGCTCCAAATATTGTGTTAGCACATAAACGGCTACTGTCCAGTAATGAATTTGCTAACCAGAATGTACACGTCGCGCCCCTACAAAAAAAGGACAAAAAAACAGTGTCACATATCTTACTTTGCAAGAAAGTAAAGTCTGATTGATTGTAGCAAAAAGATGCAACATTCTGATGCTGAATTTCATGAGTATTAGTAAAAAGTATTTATAATTGGTGCTCGAGCATTGAACCACAAATCTCCCAGGAAAACAATGTAGTTAATCAAAGAGAAGATTGAATGAGATCCTTGGCTACCAATGAATCCAAAGACCAAACCAAACCAAGCAGACCCAAGCAAAGGTAGGGTCCGGGAACAGAGCTTACCATCTACCCCAAGGGGTAGGTAGATAGGTTGTTTCTGTGAAGACCCCGGCTTGCAAACAAATAGATAAATGAAGAAATCAAGTTACAGGTGAGAGCAAACAGAAAAGACATTATGTAATAAGTTAAAAATGGTACACAAACATGGGAACAGAATCACAAAGCACAGTACAGCCAATTACCTTCTTCTCCTTCTGAATTTCAGACACAACTCCAGCAATTCCAACCAATGACTTTGAACTTGTCAAGTGGACACTTAAAACACTGCAATCAATGTAAATGTTATAAAGAAACTCTTAGAAGATCATGAATCACATCAGATCATAAGGTAGCATATCTTTCTCTCCTCCTGCCTACATCTTACCCTCTCAAGGAACCCCTTCGTATGAGATTTACAGGGTAGAGAAAAAGTTGCATACATCTTAATGTCGCCAGGCCCCACTTCGTATGGGATTTACGGGGTTCATTTGGTTTGGTTTAAATGGCATGAAAAGAGGAACCATTAAGTGAAAAGAGGAACCATTAAGTAATATATTCACCAAGAGAACTTTGTATCAAGATATGCAATGATGAAACAAGCAAAAGTAATCGAGGTCAGACTTACTTGAGCTTCTTTCTCATGGTGGCTTCCACAACCCAATCGCCAACACAATTGAAATCCGTCTCTTTGGGAAGAAGATCAACCTTTATCAACATTGTGAGGAAAATTAACAAAAACGAAGCTTGATGTTAAACACAAAAAGAAAATAAAACAATTACCTTAGTCACAACTAATATAATTGGATTTGCACCAGCAAGATCACGAACATGAGCCAAAAAACTGCCATTGAAATCCACTATATCAACCTAAAAGTGATTAAGCATACAACCCTGAACCATTAGAACTATAAACTATAAGACTATGCTTCCATAATGGAAATGTGAGAGGGGGATAAATGGTTAAATGGGCCGGCCTCACCAGTTTTACAATCAAAGCTTTCTCAAGGCGTAAGTGACGTAACTTTTCTCTAAGCTCCTCTGCAGTAACAAACTGCTTTCCACCGGCATAACCTCCATTGCCACCCACAGCCGTCACCATGTGCCCATGAGATAATAGGCGGCACCTACCACAAAGAATTGTCCTAAGCTGATGGTGTTTCTTCTTCTGCAAATAACACACCCAAAAACAACACCAAATAAATTAATACAACATAACATTAGAAAAAATGAATGAAAAACATGGATCAATCCATAAATGTCACATTGCATTACACCCACCTCTCGAAATTGGTTTCCGAGATGAAGCGGGTGTTTTTTAAATGATTACATTCATTTTTACAAAATTATCAGTGATTATTGTAACTTGCAATGATAGATCACAGAATTAATAATGAAAGGAAGAGCACAATTATTACATGGTTCAGCAAAGTGCTTACATCCACAGGTGTTTTTATGATATGATTCTAGAATTCTGATTTGTGATACAGATCACAATCAACTATGGAAAGAAGACAAAAAAACAACCCCTGTAAACAAGAAAATTCAGCCAAAACGGATAAGGAGAATAAGTGTCATCCTCAACCATAAACTATTTTTCAACCTGAATTAGGCTTCATTTTCAAAAATTGTTTCTTATTTGTAGCACTGAATATAAGTTTAACATAGTAGTCATTTTCTTCAGAAATTATAAACTTCATATCCCCTGTAATCCAAAAAAGAGCAGCATATGTAACACAATGACATAATAGATATTATTACATATCATTTACCCATGAAAACCAATTATTTCATGTATTACTTAAGGTGAATAACCCAAAATATTCATGATATCATGCATTTTCATAGTGAATGTTATGCATTTTCATCATGAATAATGCGAATAGTTGGTTCTTAGTTGCCACTTTCCAAGTATTGTCCATCTAATAGTGTGAACATTTGTGCAATCAAAGGTAAAACTTAAGATCGTCATTGGTGACATTTAGTTCCAAAATATACACCTATCCTTTTTCAGAAGACCGATCTGCTTGGAACAATGGAATTTGACACAAATCAAATGGACATTTTTTGTTATGAAACAATTATCTGAATTTCAACARCTGAACAAATTCAAATCAATTTTCATACCAGCTCATAAGTTTCCGGCTCAACATAACCCGGGGCATCCATTTCTGAAATCTGCAATGGAGCTCCACACCCATAACAGCTATAAGTTGATGTAGCAGCTTTCAATGAACTGCTAGTTTTCTCTTTCCTTTTCTTCTTCTTCTTCTTTTCTATATCCAGAGCGGATTCCGCCAAGAGTTGTTGTCGTTCAAGGAAAATATCCCCTCTGGTCGGGGCGGCTGCTCCAGTTCCTTGTGATTCAGAAACCGACAATGGGGTTTGATTTTGTTGTGAAATAATGGCTCTGCAACTGATTATAGGCCGACTAGAATTGCAGAATTTGGGAGTTTGGAATTGGTGAGGAAGAAGGAATGGAGAAAAGGAGGTGACGGAGAGGGTTTTAGGTGTCATCCTCCAAGGGCTTTTTCGAGCTAAAAAACTTTTCAGAACCTTGCTCGCTTCTATACTTTGATTTATTTACACCTAAAACTTCAAAGTTTTAATTCCTAGTATAGAAACACGAAGTTGAAATATAGTCGAATCATCAAGATATGAAACAATCAAAATTAGCCTTAAAAGGATTGCTCCCCCATAAGCAAATCAAATAAGTTTAAGAAAATCATTCAAGTAGTCAAATCATCAAAGATACGAGATATCAGCAAATAACTCACAAAATTCAACCAAAATAAGCAAATCATACAGTAAATAAAGAATAGAACACCTGGACCCTCAGGGAAACTGAGTGAGATTTGATGGCAGAGGTGAGATTTGAGAAGTGAGAGCCAATAGCCGAGAGCAATGGTGGCCTGGCGCCAGTCGTGAGTGAAGGCGAGGCCAGAAGGCGGAGGCAGGTGTGAAGAGGTGTGAGCGATAGGCCGAGAAGAGCGGTGAAGCGGATAACTTTTTAAGAAACTGAAATTATTAAACTGTTGGGCTTCCTTGGGCGGTTGGGCCACCGCTCTCTTTGCCCAGAATTTGGGCCGCACCTGCAGGCTGCATCCGTTAAAGAGAAAAGATCCACCAATCATGTAAGGAAACAGTATTGAAGTATAAACTCCCTAATCCCAAAAATAATTAAGTTTATAATGAGTGTTTGGGATTGTTTATTTGAAATAATTTATGTTTTTTTATCAATTTATTATAAGTTAGAATGGTTTAACTTCTTTAAAAACTTCTTATTACTGATTTGGCGTCGATACAAATTATTTATCTAAACACTCAAAAATATTTATTATCGATGTCACACTGAAATAAATCAATAAATTATTTTCATAAATAATCCCAAATACCCTCTAAATTTTCCATGTTTGCGAGTATTTTGGTTTAATGTTTGTTATGATTCATGTACGATTATATACTAAAAGGTGACGATTGACTTCATTTTGGGCTTTGGATATTGTTATAGTGAGCCTGTGTTGGACTTGGAAAAGCCGTGATCGATTACTTGATTTATGATCAGAATTTGCTATGAGTGAGTCTGTGATCGATTTTAAGGCTCTATATTCCAAAAAGAAGTTGTATGACAGTGCTTTCCTCCTCCCAGCGAAGTGTGATATAAACAAGGTCATTTCCGCAGAGGAAACAGATAACAGGGATATGTTAGAATCAGTATCATCCGACCCTAGTTCTCTAATTCCATCTACCGCTGCTGATTCTATTCAACCACAGCCATCCGCTTCTAGCCGTCGACCGTCTATCAGAGTCACCACCGAGTTCGATAGCGACACATCTCTTTTCTTCCACAAGGTATCCTGCAAGTTGTTCCACAATCTTGCCAAGCTCAAGCTCTGCTTTCAGAACAACAACGAGGGACATGTCTCTCATCCTCAATTAACCTTTACCTCTAAACACCTCTCCTGCCGCTACGATCTCCATGAATATAATGCTCTCCTCAATGGCTCTTTCGAGATTGCACCTGGTTTGCAGCTCACTGCCGCTCACGATGTCAAGGTACCATCTTCCTCCCTATTTCTCTGTCAAATTTTATTCATTCACATTTTATAATCTGAAAAATCATATTATGCCCTAAATATGTATTTGATATGTCGAAACGTTTTTTTTTTTCTTTTTTTTTTCTTTTTTTGTTTTTCCTTTTTCTATTTATCATCTTCATGCGATTGTATATGTATTCTTTCAGGCGCAGCTAGGAGAAGTGACTATGGCTGCTGATCTTGCTCCTGCTTGCAAACTCGAGTTGACTTCTCCCTTTCCATCTGTTGGCTTGGTGAGTGTCTATCATGTCCACCTTTATGCCACAAACCCGTTGCTTGAGCTTTCAGAATATCTCTTTTGCATCACTGTAAGGATCTTCTATTGCCCTCTTGGTGTTGCAGCCAAAAACAACCTTAAGATTTCCCTTTGGTGAAGTGTCATTAGAAGAGAATGAGGATCTGGAAGAGGAGGATGCATCTCCAAAGTTGTCAGTTAGTGGAATTTTCAAAGGTCAAGTTCTTAATGGAATTTGCAATGCTCAGTACCGGGATGATAATTTGAATTTAAGATACTCCTACAAGGTCTTTTTCCCAGCTTTGTCCTTTGTTTTTTTGTTTTCTTATTCTTAATGACTCAATATATAAGGTCTTCTCTTCGATGCCACACCAAGTTAAGTTATATGATTTGGTGTTGCAGGATGAACTGACTACCTTCATCCCAAGCATTTCTCTGCCTTCAAATGCATTATCCTTCTCATTCAAGCGTCGCTTTGGTCCTTCTGACAAGTTGAGGTGAGCTTGGGGCTGCAACTCTTGAAAGTGTTCTTATGATCTGCTTCTAGCATCGAGTCAAAAGATAAATTAATTTTATTAAGGAAAGTGAAATGTGGTAACAAAAAAAATTGGATGCAGATCAGGGACAGGTATTTTATGAACTTAAAATTTTCATCTGCATTTGCATTATATCTGAAATTCTATGCATTGCTAAATTGTAATTAAAAATTTCATCTGCATTTGCATTATATCTGAAATTCTATGCATTGCTAAATTGTAAGAGATATAGGTTCATATTCATGGATATGCACTTCACATTGATTGTCAAAATTACACAATGGGAATCATATGTTTTGATTGACTTGCATTGATAACCTAACAAAACAAACTCATTAAATCCCACATGATAAAGGATTTAAACAAGTGAGGAAAATAATGAGAGGAAGAGAGGTTTGGAAAAGTAGAGCAAGTAAGCATGGTAAACAACATGATAAAGGATTTAAACAAGTGAGGAAAATAAAATCATACAGGAAAGTATGAAACATAATAAAACAATAGAAAAGTAAGTGAGCCAAAAGACTCCTTTCCAGCTAAACTCGCACAAAAGCTACTTATATCTACCCCAAGGAGTCCCCATACCTAGTCTGGGGCTCCGATAACTAGCAGTCGGCTTTCTAACCCTCCCTCATTCTAATCTCTTGTCTCTACCACTCCAACCCCTTTCTCCGACCAAAGTAACCATAAGTCCTTGCACAAAACTTCACGCACTCCTATCCGAGGTCATGTTTGTAGAAATATAGTGAATACTGAATAGATACTAGTACCTAATACAGTGGTCTATAGATGACTTTTTAACATGCCCAAACTTCATTAAATTGAAGTAGGAAGAGTTACCTTATCATTGGGTGCATTATTCTTTATACCTAAAATCGACGGATAAACACTTACCTCTTTGGAAAAATTTCATGTAAGAATTTATAGATTATTGGATGGACTGCTTATTTCTTAATGGTTTCAAATGCTTGTTTTATTTGTCTTTAACAGGAAAGAAAAGTATTTAGATTATTCATGTACTGCCACAGATTTTTTTTTTCATATTACCTGTCGATTATATCTGCTCAATCTGGACAACGGTTTCACTATTCTTCTCTCTGTCATTTTTGTTGTTCTATTTATTAGTATATATTATATTTGAGTACAAACAGCTGTCTGGTATTAGTAATCTTGCATTCCTGCTGGTATTTATTCTCAGCTACTCCTACTACTTTGATACAAATTGCTGGAGTGCTGTTTACAAACACACAATAGGCAAGGAGTACAAAGTCAAAGCTGGTTATGACTCAGAAGTGCAATTAGGTTGGGCATCTATGTGGGTAAGCTTCATCTGATTCGCCTGCAATGATTTTGATAGGAATCGTCTTGCAGTAACCATTAGTGAATAATGTAGTAATTATTCCTCATTATCAACTATATTTGACTTTTTTTTTCCTTTCTTATATTATTTGTGTGTCTACGTCATGGTGTAGTGGAAAGACATCGAGAAACTGATGCATCTTTTCTTTAATCATTCTGACCAAAATCATTAAGCTAATCAGATATGTTCCTGAAGAGCACCACTGAATTTGTAGAAACAAGTTATAAGAAAGACTTGCCATGAAACATTCAGTCCCTAGATATTTCTGTATTGAAATCCCCCATTTTTCTAGGTGTCTGTATATACAAAATTTAAAATGTAAATAATTTCTAAAATAAAGAATTTAGTGGCAGAAAATTAATCTGTTTAAAGGAAGCCTCTGTTTTCTTGAAAGGATGTTTTAAGAGGGAAAAGGAGTTGTTTGGTTTGCAGAATTTAGAGGATTCCAAGGGAATTGGAATGATCAATTCCTTTGACCAAATTCCAGTTCTTTTGTTTGGTTCACATACTGAAATGGATGGAGTTCTTTGAATTCCACAAATTAATGAATTTGTCATTCCTTAGCATGAGTGAAGGAATTGAATTCCATCCATCCCTTTACATCCGATTTAACCAACACTGTCCACCCCCTGCCCCCACCACAACCATGCTACTACTGTCATGCTGATACATATCATATATTAGATTATATGTATTCTAAATTGGTGTTAGTGTCTCAATAAGACAATAACACATGCTATTTCTCATTTATACCCATACGGCCATTAGAAGTCAAGTCATGTTGCTTTCCCTCAATGTTCTTGGAGAACCTATGGATCTATCCACGAGCTGTTGTTGTGTAGGATTTAGGGAGAGATCACCCCGAGAATGGTGACAGAAAGCCTAGCCCCAAGCAATTGGATATGCATAGAACTTGTTCATAGATCTTTGATAAGTGACCACAACCATTGATCCCACAATGCTTATCCGTTCAGATATGTCAAAGTTGTTTACATTTTTTAAACGGAGGAGATCTTTTACTTTATAAACAATACCTATGTGGCTATGCCATTGATTCAGTATTGGCTAAAAAGGGGATAGCAATGACACGATGTCTGACCCTGAAAACAGAGGATGGATGTTGTGCCATTGAAGAACACAAGGAAAGTAGGAGCTCGGCTATCGAGATATTCCATCAAGAGAAAGGAGGCAGACTGATAATAAGGCTCCCGTTTACCACAATGGCTGTCTTGCTGTCTACTGGAGCTTGGATCCGGCTCAAAGTGGGTTTGTGTGTATGCGTTCAACCTCTTTCTTAGCTTAGGGCCTTTAAAGTGAAAGAGCGTGACTCTTTAAAATAAAACCATTTGATTCAGTTCAAAATCAAAATTACTTGACATTAGGGTTCTTGAGAGAAAATCAAAATCACTTGAAAACCACATGAGAACTTGAGATCAGGGTTCTTGACAGAAAATCAAAATCACTGCAAATCGAACAGAAAATCGGTTACTGCAAATTGAACAGAAAAATGATTACTGCAACAGTGGTCATCACATGAAACATGAACATAAAAAAAGATTACTGGAAATCGGTTACAACAACGGTGGTCATCACTGCAAAACCGAATAGAGCAACGGTGGTCATCGCTCCAAATTGAACGTAAAAACGTTGAAGACATAGGCGAGTTTCATTTGAAGACACAGGGGAAGGGGCGAGATAAAGGGCGGAAGTGGAAGAGAGAGATAGTAGGCTAAGAAACTTTTGTTCCCCCAAATTGGGAGGAATGATTTTGCTTGTAAATAATAGAATCATTGACTGCACTATAAAACCAGACAACATTAATCATTCTTTATTTCTATCAAAACCATAAATGATTATCATTTCCATCCATTGTCTTCTAATAACCCCAACCAACTGCCCCCTAAGTTTCGTATGCAAAGTGAACAATAGTTTTAGTAGAGCGTAATGCTACGCTCAACTATTAGTTTTCTGTTTTCTACAGATGGCATAGGGCTACAACTTCTTCAAGCATAGTCCTACGCATTAGTTCAATTACTAATAGTAAATCTTGTTAATAGATGTTTAGGATGTTTAAACTTTTGAAATTAGCTTTCTATTCAAATGTTCATCCCAGTGTAGAACTATGGCCCTCATCAGGGTGTGGTCTACACCCTGAATTTAACAAAAATATACTGCTCTGCCGTTCCAAATCGTAGTCTGACCTTGTCTTTACACATTAGTTCAAATTCCTTTAGTTTAGTTGAATACATCTAAATTTGAATTATTCAGTCTCAGAGTTGAAAACATTAATCTTAATGTGTTGATGAATTGGAATAACAACACTATATACATGATTTGAAATAGTAAAAATATCAAGCTTAACATTCATACTATGATGAAAATGTTAAATTTTCGTATGATGTTCTGATATCCCACTTAAAAAGACTTTTTCTTGAGGGTATTCTTAGTTGACAGTTTCATATGTTTTACAATAACTGTAGGTTGGTGAAGAAGATGGGAAAGCAAAAACAGCACCAATGAAGATGAAGGTGCAGTTGATGCTTCAAGTGCCACAAGATGATGTAAGATCGTCAGCCCTGATGTTCCGTGTCAAAAAGAGATGGGATATTTGAATCATGCAGCAAATCAAATAGATCAGGCTGATATTTCTGGTTTAAGGTTCTTACAGACGGTTTCTTTCCGTTGTGATGGAAATTTCAGAATCTACTCTGGCTGTTTATCCAGCAATGAGCTTCAGCGTGTTTTAATTTTATTATCTTTTTTTAAAGAGCTCGCTCTTGATGTTGCATCTCAAGTATATTAATGTGTTCTTGTCTTACTTTAACGAGGTTGATGCCTCAAATCCAATCAAACTTATTTTTTATGTATTCTACTTATTTTAGAAAGTAAATACTTTTTGAAACATGACATAACAATTATATATATTATTTTACAGAAATGATTGTCAATGACGATCTAGATTTCAAAGCACCAATTGAAGTTGAATAAGAAGTATCACCCATAGAGGTCGAAACAATGATAATGATAGCCGGTTCGGCTTTCTTGCTTGTTATAGACAAATCAGTAATAAAGAATATTGCTTTGTTACGTTGAGGGAAACTTATAGCTAGGAAGATGTAGGAACCAAAGAGGATGAGGAATCCAATGTGGGATAACCCACATTCCCAGAAAAAGTCGACCGGAAGTTTTGATGATTGAGAAAACTAGACTATCTAAGTGTGGAGGAGAAATATCGTCCTGTGTACAAAAGCATAAGAGAAGCAAACAATGAGAAGGAACTAGGAAGAAAGCAAGGGTAGGCATTCAAGTGTTCTTTGGATCAAGAAACAAGTACAAAATTAGAAGCAATAACCCCTAAAATTTGTGTTGCTCTTAATTCGTTTTAGGGATTGGTAAATATTTCAACATCTCATCATTCTTCAATTGATTATATATTAATCTATTATCGAATCTAACAAATTAAATAAGGTCAAATATATTGAAAAAAACTTGTTATGAATATATAAGAAATGTTGCGTTCGGTTTTAATTAAAATAAAATAAAAAAGATGGGAAGTGGGAACATTGTAAATATATATTTAGTAGAAGTGTTGGTAGAAGTTGAATATTTTCATTTGGGTTGACATTCCGCTAACCCATGTGGGATCATGCATTTAAATAAACAAGTATCTACAATTCACATTATCATGAAGTATAATTTCCTTATTTAAAAATAAATCCTTTTGTTCAATATTTTAAAGGAATTAGTTTAGTAAAAATTCGAATACTTAAAGAAAAGATTTATACAAATTAAGAGGGATATAATAGCAATATTACATTATTAAGATTCCTTGCATGTTACCATACTCATTTGACAATTTGATCGATCGTTATGTACTCCTATACATACGGACTACTTTTTATAATGATTACTAATAATTACCTCCACTATTGTAATCAATCATATCCTTGCATTACTGAATGATTATAAATAACTAAATCAAGAGGTGCAACCTCAATCAATATTATTAACGTAAGAAGATCGAGAGTGTCTATCAATATGGTCATGATCAAACATAGTATCACATTACTATTTGTTGTCTTTGCCTTCCACTACTCATCATCAACAAAGGTTACATACAACGTCCTGAAATTTGGAGCCAAAGGCAACGGTCTCTTAGATTCAAGAAATGCATTCCTCAAAGCATGGGGTTTGGCATGTGCCTCCACCAATCCCGCTATCATCTATGTTCCAATTGGGAGGTACTTGATTGCATCTGCTATCACATTCACCGGCCAAGGATGTAAAAGCAAATCCATCACAATTAACATAGATGGAACCTTGGTGGCTCCCTCTACCAACTATTATGCTATCGGCAATGCCCAAGTTTGGATTAAGTTCTACCGGGTTAACCATGTTACCATCTCCGGTGGAACCCTTGATGCGCAAGGTGCCCCTCTATGGGCTTGCAAATCCTCTGGAAAGATTACTTGTCCTAAAGGAGCTACGGTATGAGTCGAGTACAACCACCAAGTTTTTTTCTTAATTATATATTTCATTTTTGTTCAAAAGTATATTATATATGAACATATATAATTATATGTACGTGCAGACACTTGGCTTCTACCATTCTCAAAACATAGTGATCCGAAAGTTAAGGTCATTAAATAGTCAAATGTTCCATATTCTACTCTATGCATGCAACAACGCCAAGCTACAAGGAGTGAGTGTCTCGGCACCCGGGCTCAGCCCTAATACAGACGGTATCCATTTAACATATTCCACAGGTATCACCATCTTGAATTCTAAGATCTCAACAGGGGACGATTGTGTCTCAATAGGCCCAGGCAATTCTAATATCTGGATAGAGAAGGTGGTGTGCGGCCCTGGTCATGGCATAAGGTACGTACATAATATGTTATTTTTTTAATGTTAATTAACTAGCTAGAGCCTAGAGGCTAGATGTATATACATTTAAGAGTATTAATTAATTTGTTTGCATATATGAACAGCATTGGGAGTCTAGGGTGGGAATTGGAAGAAGCTGGTGTCCAAAATGTAACGGTAAAAACAACAAGATTTATAGGTACTCAAAATGGTGTGAGGATAAAGGCATGGGCGAGGCGCAGCAATGGGTTTGTGAAGGATGTTGTTTTTCAGCATGCAACGATGATCAACGTCCAAAATCCAATTTTAATAGATGCAAATTACTGCCCCAACAATAACAATTGCCCTAATCAGGTTTCAGGAATAAAGATCAGCAACGTAGTGTATGAAGATGTACATGGAACATCAGCTACACGAGTGGCGGTGAAATTTGATTGTAGCAAAGGGAAGCCATGCAATGGAATCAAACTAAAGGATGTTAATCTCATATATGGGGGGCAACCAGCTGCCTCTTCATGCTCCTATGTTGCCGGTATTGCTTCCGGCTTACTTCGACCTACAAGTTGTCTCTAATTATTAATTTCATATTAGTGTGTATATATATATATATATATACACACACACGCGCTCAATTTTATTAGAAGCATGCATGACATAGGAGTAGAGGACGATTTGGAGATACGTGGAAGGCTCGGATGACTATTTAAGGACTTCATTGTAGAGTTCAACTCATCTCACTCTTTCAAATTGGTACCAATATTGAATATTGAATTTGTTCATTTATGCATAAAATAAAATAAAAAACAATACAAATAACAATAATATTCATTATGATATCAACTATATATTTACATTAATTTACTTTATACATAAAATTTAATAAGTTTAGCGTAATAAATAACCTAAATTGCATGAAAAAATAACGTACTTTAACTTGATTTCTATTTTGGGTAACGTACTTTCAAAACTTCCATTTTGATACCTAATATGTGAAGTTTTAAACATTTAAGTATTCGGGTAACCAATTGAATCATTAACCAGTTACTATGCTGATGTGACTAGTGACGTGGTATTCAACTCAGTATTATTTTCTATCAATTTTTTGAATTCTACCAATTCTTAAGTTACCAAACAAAATTGCAAATGCAATTCTTGAGGTTTTGAATTATTTACTAGAACATGATGGGTCATGTTTTCATTATGTGAATCGTGATGAAGTCGTTGTTATTCTTGTTTCTAGAATGACGCATGATTGCAGTGATCATAATCCTAGCTATAATATAAGTGATTATTCAAGTGGACATATGTCAGATTCTTTCTTTGTGGACCTTGAAAAAGAGGATGATGTAATCAACTTAAACAAACACAGTTGGTGATCAAATTTTAAATAAGTTTTGTAGTGTGAGCAATTGACAACATTGAGTTTGTTGTGGATGAAGATGTTGATTATTTTGGAGATCATGCTATACAAAAACGTGTCCAATATCCAATATATGATCTTAATATTCCTTGGAAGCTGATGAAGCCCAAACTTGATGAGAAGTATGAGAATCCTAGTAAATTAAAGCAGTGTTTGACTAACTATGCGGTTACAAATGGCTAATAATTAAAATATGTGAAAATGATTCAAAGAGGCTGCTTGTTATATATAGTCAAAGTAAAAAAGATCGCACATGTCTTTTTAGATTATGGATATCTTGGATGCAAGAAGAAAAGTCATTTCAAATTAAAAGCATTAACTGTAAGTACATATGTAGTAGAGATTATAGTTTTAGATCCCAAGTGACACCAAATTGGATTGCAAAGCATTAAAGCATTATGTTAGGGAACTCATCGAAAGATCATTCATAAAAATTAAGCATATGCAAGATGATATTTTAAAGAAGTTTATGGTCAGAATTAGTAAGGTTCAATGCATCCAGGCCAAATCTAGGGCACTTCTTGAAATTGAAAGTTTTTTGACAAACATTCTGGAAAGGATTATGGACATGAAATTAGAGGGCTAATCCAGGATCTACAGTTAAGATGAACATAAATTTAATGGCAGATGGAAGCAATTTGGCGTTGGAAGTGATGCATTGAACAATTAATATAAGGTATAGGTGTTATTGAAGGAACGAGGCTTACTATCATGTCTAATCAACACAAAGAAAATACTATAAGACCATTGAATAGGAGAAAACACAAAGAGAATACTATAAGACCATTGAATAGGAGCAACGTGTGGACTCCAACACCTTACATCAAACTAAACCTACCTAAAGAGAGAAGAATGTATGGTAGACCATCTATCAAAAGAAAAAGATCAGAATCTGAGAGCCAAGGTACAAGAGTGACTTAATCTGGGAAGGCAATGACATGTAGCAATTGATTGGAAATGAGGCATAATGCTACATGTCGGGACTTGTAAAAACGAAAAGAATGACCACCACCTAAACTTGTTAAGCCAAAAGGTAGATCAAGAGTCAACACTCCAATACCGGCTACAACAAGTAGAGGCAATAGAGGTGGGAGGATATCATTATATTTATAATCCAATCACTAGAGAAACATTGATTGGGGTAAGCTATTATTTATTTTTTAGATTCAGATAACATTTTTAATACTATTGCTTACACTTTATCTTCATCATTAGAAACATCATCAAGCGTGCCACAACCAGCATGGCCCGGAGGCATCCTACCGTATTCAATATCAAGTGAGGTTGTTGTTAATGATGAAGACCGTGAAGAAGGTGCGACTCTTGTTCGTGATGATGAACATTATGAAAGTGGGGATGTTGTTGGACATAAAAAAGGGTTATAAGAAAGTCAAATGGTTGTATCTCCATCAGAAACTAATGATGCGAATGAATAATAGTTCATGTCACAACTTTAACATAGATTAGGCATTACTTTGGTATATATAATGCAACTTTTGGTATATTTTGGCACAACTTTTGGTATACTTTGGCGCAACTTTTAGTATATTTGATGCAACTGTCGGTGTTTTTAACACAACTTTTGATATATATTTTGGTTCAACTTTTAGTAAACTATGCCCAATTCTTCTATACAAATTATTTATGCTTTAGATACAACTTTTATATGTCTTAGGAAAATAATGATAGTGGTATATTGTTATGTTTTACAAATGTAAGCAATTTTTTCGCTCAAAAAATGTCTAGGGACTTGATTGTTCAAAATATGAAAGTCCATTGGGTTTTTTTGAACTTTTTCCATTATTTTACCACATTAACTAGTTTTATAGGTCACGATGATGTATCTAACATGTTTTAAAAAGTCCAAGAATTTATTGGACATGTTTTGAAATGTCAAAAGACTTATTTGTTTTAAAAAAATTTCTAAAAACTTAATTATTTCAAAAATTAAAGTCAATTGAATTTTTTTAAAAGACTTTTTAAATAATATACGTTTTGAGATGCTATTGTATTGTATGTTTAATTAATAAACATTTTAATTCTTTAAATAAAATTATACTAATAATAATAACGACATTTTTTTTGTATAATAATACAACTTTGTTACGAGATATCTGTATTGAATTGGAAATATATGTATGTGTCTTGACCGTAGCCTTATCAATTTTTCCCAATTCCTTTTCTGATTTCAATTTCAATATTCATGTAAGATCGACGACGACACTATTCCCTCTCTGTATCGTATCTATACACAGCTCCTCCTATAATATATTTATACTACCTTATAAACCAGATTTATCAAAAGTCTTAAAAACAATTTTTAATGCACAAAGTTTTAAAAACAACTCATAATGCATTAAGTACTATTACTTTATGCATTTAGTTTTAAAATCTCTTAATCTATAATTAAAATAACATATAGTACAAGTTACCAATGCACATTATTACATTTTATTTTTATGTTCTCAAGATACTTTTGACACATTTTACTTATACATTCATCCTCTCATATCTCTATGTCTTCTCCCCATCCCACAAGGTGAGATTCAAACTGATATTCACCATAAGTTATTAAAAGTTTTATCATTCAACAGCTCTTGATCTTTTGATTCTTTGCTCTTGGTGTAAATCGAATATATTTGTGGAGTCGTTTAAATATGTTGGATTTTAAATATATTATATTTTAAACTGTCATATATTTTTTTTATCAATAGACTGTAATTGGAATTATAACTCTTATTTATTCAAATTGTATTAATATGTAAAGACCAAGTGTAACTTATATCATCGTTACTTAAAAATCGTTAAAATTCACGGCTCTGTCATATTGTATGGATAGACAACTAGTATATGTGTGTGTTGTGTATGATCTGTTATTACCAATGTAAGTCCATCCATCCATTTACGTTGTTGCTTTTTACATCAAACAGTCTTGTTAGGTGTCTCCACCATCAACGCTTTTGTTTCTCACTCGAAATCAAATACCTAATACATATTAATGTACATATCTCTTCAACATTATATGTAAATGTAATACAAAAGAAATGTTGTTGGGTTTGTTTCTGGCTCATGTGTTCGACAAAATGCTTGCCTTTTTGATTAATTTTATGTTACTATATTTAGCTTTTTGTTCGCTATCTTTTCTGCAACTTCATACACTTGCCGCACTCATTGCTCCTGACTATTCATACGCTTGTGGATTCATGTCTGAGGTGCTTCTTACAGGCGGTTCTTGGCGTGTGATTGTGCTTCCCTTTCATAATGGCTTCTAGAGCAATTTTGAGGCAGAGACGGCTTCTTTCCGATTACCTTGATGTCTCTGTTCGTGGTCTCACCAACTACTCCGAGTCTCATGATTGTATCCCTACTCTAGATCATCCTTTCAAACCCTTGAACGAGGATACAGCCTTTACATGGAATCAGGAGTCTGATAACTTCTATCAATTACGACTCTTCACGCCAGATAAATTTTATGCTATTACTACAAGACATGGAAAGCTAGGATCTATGTTTCCCATGAGGGTTGGATGGGTATCTCAATCAATACGTTACTCTACCACAGTCGGTCAATCAAATTTGGGCAGTGAGGATGAGGATAACAAACACCGGCTTGATAAAAAGAGGAAAGAAGCATCACCGGAGGAATGTGATCAAGCTGTTGAGGGCTTAAGCAGTGCCAAGGCTAAAGCCAAGGCCAAACAGGTGACTGAATCTCACAAGGATGCTAAATCCATTTTGCAGAGGACTTGGGCCATGCTATTGGGGATTGGTCCAGCTCTAAGAGCTGTGGCTTCCATGAGCAGGTTTGATATACCTTTGCAGATTAATTTAATCAGAACCAAAAATATTATTCTCATTTGCTTTCTTGACATGTTTCCTTCAGGGAAGAGTGGGCTAAGAAACTCACTCACTGGAAAAACGATTTTGTATCCACCTTGAAGCATTACTGGTTGGGCATTAAGCTCCTTGGTGTTGATGTTAGGATCAGTTCCAGATTGCTTCTAAAGCTTGCTAATGGAAAGGGTCTCTCTAGGAGGGAGAGGCAACAATTGACACGAACCACTGCAGATATCTTTAGGCTAGTTCCTGTTGCTGTTTTCATCATTGTACCTTTCATGGAATTTTTGTTGCCAGTATTCTTGAAACTATTCCCCAATATGTTACCTTCTACCTTTCAGGACAAGATGAAAGAACAGGTACTGGTTCATATAGTCTTGTAAACACTTAACCATTGTTGTATATCAGTAAGGTTCCTTTATCTTTTACAAGTGTTAATAGCATTATTACATTTTTGGGATAAAAGATGTGATAATAGTTTAGAGCTTTAACCTTGGAAACATTAACTTAACGTGACACTAAACATGCAGATACTTTTTGCTCGGTTAAACTCTCAGCCTAATTGGAGCAAGTTGTTTCTTTTTGGGCTCAACCTTTGGAAGTTTGATTCATTTATTTGAGCAAGCATCTTTTTTGATTTCTTGTATGTTAAACTGTAGGAAGCATTGAAAAGAAAGCTAAATGCAAGAATAGAGTATGCAAAATTTCTTCAAGATACAGTAAAAGAGATGGCTAAAGAGATCCAAAACAGCAGGAGTGGAGAAATTAAGAAAACAGCTGAAGATCTTGATGAATTTTTGAACAAGGCAAGGGTTTAGTTTGACCATTTTACCTTTTAGTTTTCTTTCAAAAGGATGCTTTGCTTACAAATTTATAATGTGATACAGGTCAGAACAGGTGCTGTTGTTTCTAATGAAGAGATTTTGGGATTTGCCAAGTTATTTAATGATGAACTTACACTTGATAATATCAGCAGGTTTAGCTGTCAATCGTTCTTTTATTGATTGTATATGATATCAATGTTGGTACTTGTTTTTCATCTGTGCTGCTTCACTGATCTGTTGGTGCTACTAGGCCTCGTTTAATGAATATGTGCAAGTATATGGGAATCCAACCTTATGGGACAGACGCTTACTTGCGATACATGCTTCGTAAAAGATTGCAATGGTACGCTTGATTCCTTATTTGCTATATATATTGTTGTTAGGAATATCGTTTCCCAACCATTTTTAATATGTAGTTGGTTCTTGTAGTTTGTAACTGGTAGTAGTTGGTTGTCTGTATATTGGTTCAGCCATATGCATCAGTTGGCCTATTGCAATTAGGATTAAGCTGTTACGTAGTTAAGCAACTATTGTACATGGGGAAGCAATAAATAAGGATGTGGCATACAGCCAATATCCTAACAAAGGCACCTTAACAGCAATGTAGTCTTTATAGTGCACACATTGTTGGTGTCTCAGGACAGGTGCCAATTTGGGGCATGTTGTTTAGATCTTTTATCTATTTATTTTGACTGTTCATTTTCTGCAGCTTTTGGTGGTGGTGGTGGAAAGTGGATACAGCTTCGTGTGGGAAGGGAAAGTGTCTTGTCTTGATGATAAATAGACTGTCAAATTCGGTGCATGCTAGTGTCCTTGCAATTACAATCTATGTTTGCTTTGTAGGATAAAGAATGATGATAAGATGATTCAAGCAGAGGGTGGCGTGGATGCTCTTTCTGAAGCTGAGCTTCGTGAAGACTGTAGAGAGCGAGGCATGCTTGGATTACTTTCTGTGGAGGAAATGCGTCAGCAGGTTCCATTTAAATTTCACCTTTGAAAATATATATTGGCAATGACTAATGGAGCACTTGAGTAGGCATGAATTAAATCATCATCTGCTTTGTGTCATTGCCAAAGCAGAGATGGTAATCGCCACACATGTTGCCAGCCCATAACAGGACCTTGTCCACCACCTAATAAATCTTTCCTTCCTCTGCTGCCCTGTGAGAATGTTTTTGTATGTCAGTATGTCTGTTTTTGCCTTTCATTTGCATGCTATTTTTATGAACTTGAAAGAAAAATATGTAAACGCCAATTCATATTCAATCATATCACTTCTTTCAAGTAACAGCAGGATGCTCTTTAGCCATTACTTGCTAAGTTCATGTAAAGATTAACACTGAACACACACACACACCTACACTCCAAAGTAGAATAACATTGAACATCATTACTTACTAATGGGGGGCCACTTCTCTAAACAAAATGAATTCAAATTTATATAATACTTTTCATGTGGATTTTACTTTTAGATCAAATTATAAGGAAATAATGGAATTAGGTTTTGTTATAAATAATTGGGTATTTTGGGTGGTTTAGTTGGTTTATGTAATTAGATTCTTATTAATAATTCAGTTTGCAATTCAAATCGTTCTATTTTGTTCAATTTAAGAAGCATTTTATGTGAATCTCATCAACATATAGTATTGAAGGAATTCATGTAATTGTATTGGCTGGTTGCATCCATAGTGGTGAATTGACTTGTTTTAATGGGTTTAATTGTCAAATGCTCTATTCTTGTTTCTCAAAAGATGTAATTGAAGTTCCATTCTTTTATGTCATTTCTCCTGACATCATATAGAAGGGTCCCACAATATGGTGTTAAATAGCCGAATGAGTACAGCTGTAGGAGTAGTAGGCCGTGTATTTACACTCAATATATTTTCCTTTTCTTACCCTTTTTCCCTTTGGGTGGAGGTGGGCTGAGTAAATTACCATATGTTAGCGTGCTCGTACACAACACTCTCACATACATGTGTATGTTGCTTACCTGCAGTATCATGTCCACACTTACTTTGATTAAGTATATAAGATGCAAACCACCTCCTATTGCCATTTGGTTATTGCAGTGAAGTTCATTCCTTATTTAACCACATTATGCAACTTTGGTTTGTCTAAATCATCTATCTACTTTGAGTAACAGTCTTTAACTGTACATACTTTTGTGCATATTTCATGCACCAAAAGAACCTTAAGCAATTTATTTTAAGAATTTGCACTATCTGTTGACTGAATAGCTTAATCAGTGTAAGGAATAGCTGTTTTAATTTATTGGAAAATCCGTTTATTTCTCTCATTATGATTGTTCTGCAGCTCCGTGATTGGTTGGATTTATCTCTTAATCACTCTGTCCCATCTTCACTCCTTATCCTTTCCAGGTTAGTGCAGAACTGCAAACCTCCTGAACGTCATGAGTTTTTGCATCTCTATGAAAAAAAAAAAAATTGTATGTTTTTTGCAGGTCTTTCACTGTATCTGGAAAGCTAAGGCCTGAGGAAGTTGTCCGAGCTGCATTGTCTTCATTACCAGATGAAGTTGTGGACACTGTCGGTGTTACAGCATTGCCATCGGAGGATTCTGTTTCAGAAAGGAAGAGAAAGCTGGAGTTCCTTGAAATGCAAGAGGAACTCATTAAGGTTCTTCTCTCATCCCAAATAAGCATATCTTATTTTGCTACCTCTTTAAAATAACCACTCGCGGTGTTTATTTAGTCTGTGTGATGTTGAGCCACCTTTCATCCTCCGAGCATCTAAGATTGGAAAACTGCATCCTAGGAGAAGGGACATATTACTGTTTCAATCTTCAGCCTGTAGATGGAAAATACCAATAGGCAACAGTCTTGGGGTCCTATAGAGAAAAATTCACCATCATAAAACAGTGTTGCTTTGCTTGACCATTGTATAATTGATACACAGGAAGAAGAAGAGAAAGAGGAAGAGGAGCAAGCCAAGATGATGGATTCTGTTGGTAGCAAGGAGGATGCGACATTGAAAGAGATGATTGATGTAACAGCCTCAGAAGCACAAGAACAGGCAAGAGCTAGAGCACTTGACAAACAAGAGCAGCTCTGTAAAGTCAGTGAAGCTTTGGCTGTTTTAGCTTCTGCATCTGTAAGGATTAAGGAGAAATAAGTTCTTGCTTACGAGTTGCTGTGAACATTTCTGTTCTGGTGATCTGTTGTTGATATTGTCTGAAAAGTAAATTCTCTTTTTGGTGTTAATTTCTGCAGTCTGTGAACAGGGAGAGAGAAGAGTTTCTGAGGCTTGTCAACAAAGAGGTATACTTAGACTTCTATATAGTACTATGTCTTCATGAAGTTGTACATTGCATTTATTATAGTTTCCTTGAGTCAACATTATCTGAAATCCCTTTTTATACTCGGAAGCCAATTATTGCTTTTAAATCTTGCTAGTTTATGTTTTTATGTATGTAGATCCGTGAACAATAAGCAGTGGGGGGATGTAGCATGAACTTTAATAACAAATGATGAAAAACTTTGACTAGCCTTTTATCATACAGAGAATACCTATGCCTCTATTGGTAGCTTGGTCCCTTGACTAGTTTTGGGCTAATGGTTCACTCTGACTTTTGTTACTATGTTCTTTTTTACTGTTAAAGTTGCAAACACAGGAGTGAAGTACTTGAATCCTGAGCCCTGTCTCCCAATAGCCATAGATAAGCCTTCAGCATATACATGCCTTCTTCTGTAGCCTTCAACATCTGTGTGTTACTTTTGCAGTCAATTTGATGATTGCTCTTATTTGTTAATGTTGATTATGTTTTGACTGTAGTCTATGTCTTTTACTTCTTGATACAAGGCTGTGAGATGGTACCAAATTGATAATGTTGAGATTCCAACTAGCTAACATGTGAACTGCTCTTGCTCATTACACTTGACAGGGCGTTCCTAATCTATTAGTTACCTTATCTTTCTGTGTTTCCAGATAAATTTTTATCATAGTATAATGGATAAAGAGGGCACCGATGGCGGAAAAGAGGCCATGAAAGCATATAAAGCTGCCCGTAAGGAAAGTGAAAATTCAGCTGATGAACCTGTAGCCGATGAGGTCTCTTCAGCACTCATAAATAGGGTAAGATACTCGGTTCTTTTCTTCCCCTGCTAGGACCTGAAGCCTTTAATCTACTGTAGAATTGATGTGCTTGTTGATTCATGCTTTAGGTTGATGCTATGCTCCAAAATCTTGAGAAAGAAATTGATGATGTGGATGCAAAGATTGGTGACTGTTGGCGGATGCTTGACAGGTAAAAACGTTTCTTATTTAGTTTTTGTTTTATATGTTTGACAATATTTGAACTACTGGGTACCTAGAACATCTTGAGGGCAGTTGATGACCCATCTGGAAGCATATTCAGCTACACTAAAAAGTTGCCAAGTTTTTCAGACTGTCCCTCTTTCTTAAATTAGTAAGATACCAAAGGGCTAGAAAAATCTGCATGGTGACATTGTAATGAGAAATTAGGCTTGAAGATTATGATATGTTGTTCTTTATAGTAGTTGGAAACATAGACCACTACTCAGTTGCTCTGAATCACTATTGAATTTCTATTTGTTAGGATTAATGTTGGAAAACTAAACGGAAGAAAGTTTGTGACACTTGCTCAAAACAGAGATTCATAACATGCATTCTAATAATCATGTACTTGAATTATAGGAAAAAGATCTCTTATGTGCAACCACTAATCGCGAAGCAAGTAAGCATACTTTAAGATTCACCACTAGGCTTAACTCTGGTAAGCCTCTACCCCAAAGTAATTGGGACTCTTGGGCTAATCACTATGTGTGTGTGTGTGTGAGAGAGAGAGAGAGAGAGAGAGACGAGACGGGAGGGGGATTTCAGGGGTTCATTATGTGTCCATTCAATACATTATAAGGCCACTTTTAGCTTGAAATAGTGGAAAGTTACCTATCACCATTTCATAGCCAAACATGGCGCTTGCCACATGACCTAGTGTCTCCATCTTGTTTTCTTTATTCATGCCTTGCCAACCCCCTATGCTGAAACATTTTAATTGATGTTTATGCAAGAGTAGTGTCGCCTTAAATCCTCACTTGTTCCCCCCCTCTTTCTTCCACTATATGAAACTGTTGTTTATTAATATTGTCTAAGTTCGTCTTCACATGTCATATTTGAATTTTCATTATGTTAGATAATTCTGGTTTGGCTGCATTAGGAGCAGTGTTCTAAAAGGCACTTCTAACTTTAGATTTTACACTTTTATGGATTATCTAATCACATCACTTACAGTTTCATGGATTCACAGCTAAAGCGAAGTTGTAAAAGCCTTCCAAGTTCTAGTTTGCATATTTGATCACATACTTTTATATAATGCTAATTTATATGATTTTTCTTCTAATATGAATATAATTTTTTTTAATGTCGTTATCTCATTGAATATTAGATAGGAAACAGATATTTATCTATATAATTATATACATGACATACAAGTTTGCCATCTTATGTCACACCTTGAAAAACGCCATGTTCTCGTCACTGCGTGTAAGGCTTGAGGTTTGACCTTGCCGTCACGTCATTTAGAACCTTGATCAGGAGGAGACAGATGCTCTAGTGCGGAGGGTGGAGAGCATAACGGTTGAGGGGGTGAGGAGGAGCAGGCCAAGGAGGATGTGGATGAGCATTTGAGGACGGGCATGGAGGCCTTAGATCTTTTCGAGGACATGACCGCTGACAAGTGTTCTTGCCTTCTTGGAGACTCAGGACTAGGGTCGGAGAAGATATTCTTAGAGATTAGTAGCTATTGTAGATGGGGGAAGGGTAGAGAGCCGACGTATAGATTTTAGGCTTCACTTCATAGAAGCCATTGCCTTGTTTGCTCTTATGATGGAGTTTTTGATTTTTTCCATATTCTGAAATTTGCTATTGTCAGTATAACAATGTGCAGACTTGGTTGGAGTAAGATGATCTGGTCGGAGTAATTTGTTTTAAATGGTCTGGTGTTTTAGTATTTTATCTTCACACTTGTCCTGGATGGTTTTAACCTTTTCTCTGGCTTATGTCCTTACTGTTTAGTGTTTACTATCCTTGCACATACTCCTTTTCTATTATTTGTTTTCAAACGTCTCATGCTCTCTGGTGTCTAAAGAAGTTTGGTTTGTTCATAACTTTTTCTCAAAATAAAGGCCTTCATGGAACGGCCTCTCTATGCCTTGGGGTAGAGGAAAGGTCTGCATAGACCTTACTTTCAAGTGGGATATACCAGGTACATTTGGTTTAGTTTAGATGAATATAATGCATTGTTTACGTTGGCCTGTTACTGTAGAGATTATGATGGAAAAGTTACTCCCGAGGAAGTGGCATCTGCAGCCATGTACTTGAAAGATACTTTAGGCAAGGAAGGGGTTCAAGAGCTTATCAGTAACCTTTCCAAAGATAAAGGTCAGCAATCCATTCCTACAAGTTGTAACATTCTCTTTTACAGCTTTTTTTGCTTGTCATTCTTGTTACTTGCCATTCGTTAATCATTCTTGATATGGAGGATGATTTTACTGTTTTTTTAAGTTGTCATAATGATAACTCAGCAACTGACTTTTGATATGACAGAGGGGAAGATTCTTGTTGAAGACATAGTGAAATTGGGAAGTCGAGCAGAAGACGTTGGTTGATCTTAAGCAGAGCTGAATAATGGTATTGTTTGATTTTACTTGTAACTAGTATATGAATTCTGATAGCTTTCTTGTAGCAGATTGTCAGGCTAGTTCACCAAGTGCCATCCACTTCTTTTGCCATCTTCTAATGGCTTAAAGTGTGAAACTGTGTTCTTGATGATCCTTTTTCTTTTTTCAATTGGCAATGGCAATCTCTATCAGATCGTACATTAATATAGTTATGAATTTTTGTCCTAGTAAAGAGGGTGTGTGGCATTGTTAGTGCTATGTACACATGATAGACCATGTTACCTACTTTATCACAGTTATTATGTTTAATGATGGAGGGGAAAATTTGCTACTTTCAGATGGCTGCAGATATATTACACCCAGGGGTGATTATGAGCAGAGTTGAGTTGAATAGTTTTTTCATAATTGTGTTCAGTGTTTTGAGTATCTTTTTATGATTTAGAATTGAGCTTAATTGGCTTGTTTATGATTAGCTCAAGTCTATGCTCGAATTAGAAGTGTTTTTAAGCTCAAAAACCTTGGAGCAATTAAGCCTAGATATGAGTGATGCATTTATATATCCTTTACATGTTGAAGTAAATTAAGGAATGGAGTATTGGTTGGTGTTGGTAATATGAGGGTGGTTAAATATATCATTTTAACCTATAATACTAACTTGGAACTGGTCATTTTATCTTATCCTTTTTCAACTTTTCTTAATTGTTGTTAAATATATAACTTTTATCTCTTTATTCATAAATACACCCCATCCCCTCCCTGTCACCACTGTTCAAGGCAAGGGAAAGAATTTTCGTGGCACAATAGTTTGGATCTTTCATTTATAGAAGAGTATAGTAGTTCAAGGTGCGGCCTGGTTCATGTTTTGCATTTTTTTCTTTTCGTTAATACAACCACAATTACGATAAGCAGACTTCAAAATTTAAACATCTCTTTTTTGAACCCTTGACTTCTAAAATTCTAAAATACACCGGTTATTTCTAGGAAACAAATGTACAAGTAATCTTAATCGCCGTTTTCAAAACCTAAATAAGTTTATAGAAAACCAATTCCGGATTTTGTAAATACAAATTACACTTTAGTGCACTACCTAGAATTTCAAGTTTTCGCGATGGTACTAAAGCGACCAATAAAACCTTCAAAATGAATTTAGGTACTTGGTTTTTAACTTAGATACTTGATTATTTAATCTTAATCTTTCTCAACGATTTGAGCTAATGACTGAAAGTTCTTCCTCCGAGGAAGGGACGGTGGATTTTAGGGAAAAATATAAAGTGGGGATGAGAGGATAAAAGGTTAACGTTTTGATTTTTATGTTTTTACTTTTTAAAAGCAATGAAATGAAGTGGTATTTCATTTTCTTTAAGTTGTTTTAAAAACATGTTTACTTACATAACATATTCAACTTGTTTTTACAGGTTAAAGTGTTGATTATTTGGTTTTATAAAATTTTAAGATTTATTTATTTAAAAATTTATCTGATAACTTAATATTTTTTATTATTAAAAACTCTATTGAATTTTCTTAAAACTTTCTGAGAAAGTTAACGTCGGATTAAAATAGGGTTATAACTCCCTAAACCAATGACATCGATAATAGCCTAAAGAAAGAATTATGTAATTTATTTTTTTGAAGAATTAAAAGAATATGAATTAAATTGCACATTTGGGTTGGGGGGTTTAAATATTCACCGGATCCACCACAATACGTCCGGTGTTTGCTTTTCATTTTGTTATCCAACAAAAACTCCATTTTCATGGCTCGCTGCAATCTCTCTCTTCAATGGGGGTTTTAAACCCATAGATTTATCGCTTCAACTTTGTTTCCTTACTCACAAACTCTTCAATTCTTCCTATTACTTTTTTTTTGGGGGGGACATGGGGAAGAATCAAGCGTATAAGGCGATGCAGAGATCAAGGGTGGGCTCGACCTCAGGCGGCCCCGACGACGTGGATGACGGCATGGTTTGTACCCTTCCATATCATATTTTCTTCTTATTTTCAATGTCTACACTATTCAATTAGGACAGAATCAAATCACAGGTTTTACCTAGGGTTATCTTCTTAGTCTCTTATATCGTAGCTAAAAAAAATCTTTTTTTTGGACAGAATCAAATCACAGGTTGTGACTAGGGTCTGATACCTTTGTTAGAATTTACGAACAAGTAGAACCTCGGTAATAATAGTTACCTTTCACATACTTTTTTACTCTCTTACTGATAATGGCTGGCTAGACCAAGCTAAATACTCCGTTAACATGGCGATTTTGAATTCTTCTGTGTCTCTAACCTTTAGGTAACTAGAATTGTGATTGTGAAGATTTTACGTTGAAATAATTGAATTGTTGTTGGTTCAGAATATTTCACAAGGAACCGCAAACATCAGTAGCAAGTTGCTCTGTGAAAATAACTCTTGTTAGGTTGATTACATGTGTTAGGAAAACATATTTTGGTTTTTTGTTTGTGTGGTGGGTGGGGAGATATCTACAAGTGATTTGATTCTTCAAGGCTGAATGGCTATTATTGTAGTGTAGCTCTTCCATTCTGTTGCATATCTTTTTTTTCCTTTTTCTGTTCTTCACCAGCATATTTTCATTTCCTATTTGTACCACATAATCCACCTTTCTTTTAGTTCTGCTCTTAACCAGCATATAGTTCTGTAGAGATAATACATCGGGGAAGTTGTAGTCAGTTTTCTTTACTGTACCCTTTCTGATTAAGAGAGTCGCAGGTGGATGGTTCATTTCATTCACCAGAGTGGCATGCAGCTCGTTTAGCCAGCCTCAAAACTTCTCATACGGTTACTTGGGAAGAGTACAAGAAGAAGCAAAAGGTAACTTTTTATCTTCACTTTCACCATGCAACAGCATTCCTTAAAGCTATCTTTTTTGAAGTTGAATGTACAGTTGCTGTTAATGCATCTAAAATTGTAAGCATCTCCATTATTGGTTTTGCTTTTGCCTCACAAGTCATAATGCATCATCATCATATTGCTTTTCTGTTGTAATCGAGATAATAGTATTTTCAAAACTCTTGTTTCAGAATAAATGATTTCCACTGATCTTGGGTTATATTAATTTACTTGTTTATGACTTCTTGAGATTTAGCAAAGTTGTTATGATTTTATTTACTTTTTCTTCTGGTAAGCCACAGTACTAGAAATATAACTTGCTCGTTGAAGTATTAGTAAAATCGCAGACTGCAAGTCTTTGTCGATGGTATCCATTTGCAAAGTAAACGACTGAAACCTCGTGGGAATCCCTTGTTTTGAAATGCCTCTGAGATTCTGGAAGTTTCTGATTATTGTGGCAGACTGTTGAATCAGGTTTAACCTTTGTGCCTCTGTAACAAAGGTTGCTCCATAAAACATGCATTGTTATATACAATGCAGGTGGAAAGCTCCTAGTGGATATTTCTTGGAAAAGGAATGATAAATGCATTGACAAGTATCTATCGACTACGTTGGTGAATGCAAAGTAGCTCTTGCCTGGAGGGATATTCTTCTTACTACCATTTGGTTGTACATTGGCTGCTTGTATAGAAACCAGGTCTTCTGTAGTCTCTACTCTGTGCCTTTTGGTTGCTCGATTGCCAATTTTGAATGGATCATGCAGTTGTCATACAACCTACTGGTCTATGCCTGCATGTGATGATCATATTCAGTATTCAATGCTTGGTTCATTGACACTATTGATTTGCCAACGAAGTCGGTTGCTACTCTACATACTTATGACTAGTTTTCTAATATGGTTTAGAATTGGTTTTATTTTACTCATAGCCACAATTGATCACTCATAATTTAATACCTCAATTCTCTCATCTGAACTTGAATGCACATATATCAATATACCAATGTATACTGATAAAAGTAGGGATTGAATTCAAGGGAAAGGGAATGCTCCTCATTAATTGAATGCTTACATGGGTGTTTACTGGCTATTGAGAGGAGAGATGCTCCCCACAGGACTCACATCCAAAATGTCTACACAACAGAATGCCCTAATGCACTATCCTGATACCACGTCTCTTATTTACCTGCATTACCTATTTGTATGGCTTATGCCATTAACTACTTGTTCATCCATTAGTATAGATTATGACAATACCCATCTCCAATTCACAATACCCCAAATCCTTCATGAAGATATCTATCAGCAATGAAGACGTATACTCCTTGTCCCTGTTGGAATCCTTGTTGCCGGAACCCACTAACACATGCGTTTCGTCCTTTGATTCATTTTCATCTGCCTTTTTTTCCTCTCTTCTGTGATGCACATTCAATTGTGAATCTAAGAGTAGATTTGACCTAGTCACCTACAGAATAGAGATTGAAACCTCTATAATTTTGCAAGGTACCTCCCACCCAAACGGGCATCAATGTCGAGTATGGCAAGTGACAGGATCCACAAACTCTGCAAGGCCACAACAACCAGGAAACATTAATTGTTTCATCATCAATAGCGAGCAAGCCATGTCGGTTCAAATTGACAGTTACACTCACAACCTCGAAACCATTATCGGTCAGTGGATCTGACGAAGTCCTAGCAATTTCTTGTTCTCTTCCACCTACCATAAAATCTTCATTTCCGCTTCCGTAACCAATCTTTCTTCCATTTTTGTCATAGGATTGTACGTCAATTATGTGCCCTTCACCATAATCATCACGTTCTTCATGAACTAATGGATCATTCGAAGAAAGGCGATGGAAATTTGACCATGCTGGTGGTGGCAACGATGGTGGTGGAGGTTCTTGTGGGATATTGCGTAAAAAGGCTTTCCCCTGCCTTACGGCCTTCCTTTTCTTCTTTTCAAGATCCTTCTTTCCTTATGATGGCAGTCCGGTAATCACAAATTGACCACCTCCTTCACAATAGTCTCATGTCTGGAATGGTTCTTTTCAAAGGCATTCCACAATGTTTCTCTTGAATTCCATGCTTGACGTGCTTCTTTTATGTCATTTAGGGCTGTTATCTGCTGATTTCAAGTCCTTATATCTTGTTTTTTAATCTCTTCCTTCACGATCTGCAAAACCAAACTCATCGCCAATTGGAGCAAACTGAGAATCTGAGTCTTTCCTCTATTTTCTCGACTGTTGACAGCAGACCCCTCAAGATCTCCTGCGCTAGTACCATTTGACGTACAGTGGTAATATCAGAGAACAAATTCAAAGGGAAGGGAATGCTTTTCATTAGTTGAATACTTACAAGGGTGTTTTCTGGCTTTCGAGAGGCCTGAAATTCTCCACAGGATTCATGCCTTAAATGTATACAAAACAGAATATCCTATTTGTAGGACTTACGCATTAACTACTGTACATCCATTAGTATAGAGTATAACATATACTAAATTCACAAATTGTCTGGCGCCTGTGTTACTTGGTGCCTCTGCCGGTTGTTGTGGTGCAGTAAAGCAACAACAGTTTTATGCTTATGTATAGCATTTAGGGTTATGTATAGCTTCTTTGTGAATCAAGATCAAGGCTTCTGATGTCGTTTGTATATGATTGGTACATCCAGACTCAAAACAGTTAACTAAAATATGTATGTATTCATAATAGCTCAAAAACTTGTGTGTAGAAATCAATAGGATATATGGGTGATTCCTAATTTATATGGCTTATTCGTGTTGTCTAATTTTTTTTCTGTACGTAGTAACTCTGATGGTTAGGTTCAGGCCATTATTTTCCATTTTCGTAGGAATAGACAGATGCAATAGAACAGCTAACAAGACCTGCATATGCCCTTCTTTGGTGAGGCTCACATTGATATGGTTATTGAAAATTGGAAGTTAGTGGAGATGCACGCATGCTGTGGCTTACTGGCATAATCTTAGGCCACTAAAAAGATATCATGTATGCAAGATAGGCAGCAAACATGTGAATGTTGAGGTGTATGTGTGGCCCACAAGATGAGGGATGGAATTAATCTTGAAGATATAAACAAACCAGAGATGGATGGGTGGCACCAGCATAGGAGAAGCTGAGGTGACATCAATTGTACAACGGAGAATATAGTGCATTTAGAGGAGACTTGGACCAAGAGAAAATCATTAGAGAGATAGAGGTATATGGGAAGCAGTGCATCGAGATGCAAGTAAAATATCTAAAGATGTTGGTGTTCGATAGGAGCTAATGAAAGGAATACCATTCATGTCTCTGAACCCTAGAGCTTCACCGCATGCCATTTTCTGTTCGATATCATCTTCATAATTTTTTTAGTGGTCAGTTTTAGCTTACCGCAGGTAGTTTGGGATACATGAGTTGTATTCTGGGCAATAATTTTCTTGAATGTGAATAAAATCCTAGCTATTTCCCTAACTAGCTTATTGATTACCTTTCTAATATATTTTATTATTTGGAGTTCCAATCCAAGTTCTTACTTTGAAATACACTTTTAACCCCGATCTTTATTTCAGATCGTATCTCTTTTGCATTTACAGTTTTTTTCTAACATTCCAGAACATCTTTACTGAATATCATGGCTTTTATTTTGTTTTACTCCTTTTGTTGTTTTAATGGTAATGACTTAAGTGACATTGCTTAATGATTAGATATATACAAAACAGAAGGAAACTACCTAATTCTTATTGTTAGGAAGAAGAAATGAAAAAAGGGGAGTTAGAAGCTGACAAAGATAGAATGATGCGAGAATATCGGGCTCAACTAGATGCAGAAAGGGCAAGCAAGCTCGCCCATGGAAGAAACCACTCAAAAAGTAAATCTACTCAGAGGAAGGGTAAGTGCATAACTTTAAACCTTCTCTTGTACATATCTTTGTCATCTGATGCTATTGTGCCTTGTTGCAGATAAGGACAAAGATCTGAAGAAGCGCACCAACAAGAAGAGAAAGGTGCATCAAATTCCCGGATTATCTACAGTACCTTGGCCCAATCAATATGCAACTTGCTTCTTTGTTATGGAAGTCTTTTGATCATATTTTAGTTGTCATCATTATTAATCATTTGTTACCTCATTACAGAAGTAACATGTTAGCCAGATCCCATAAGTGCACCCAACCTAATGGGGTCAGGGTGTTTCATAGGTAATAGTTGGTTCGACTCCCTTCCCATCCTCGAATTCTAAACATATTCATGCCCGGGCTCACATGTACATCATATATGGATATGCATCATTATCCTTTCAAACAGCTAGTATGACGATGACCATGAAACTGAAGTACTTGACATTATGATGACTCTAATACATCATACATAATTGTCTTGTCACTGGGAACTTACACACCAAAATTTATCTTTCAAATAGTTCCATAACTGAAAGGAGATATACATAACATATCAGCAGCAACTGTGAAAAGGAAAGATATCATTAAAACACACATCTTCTCACAGTAAGGCTTTATGCTTTGTTGCCTAGCTCTTTCTTTTCTCTTCCTTTATTTGACCTGGATTTTCACTTGTCACAACTGTAAGTCTTGGTGTATGAGAAGATATAGGTATGTTTGGCCGGAATTAATACCAATACCAGGAAATCATAGAACAAATGAGCTTGGGTTTTGTATCGTATGCAGTTGACCTGTACTTTTGAGTACATGTTCTAATTGTACACGATTGTAAAATAATTTATTTTCATATATGGCTGTGCACTTTTTAGGATGTCTGGTACATGCTGAACTTTGACTGCTGCACTTACCAATCTGGTCATTCAACCCATATTTCCAGTATCAAAGCACTTGAAACTCTTTAATAATTTCCATAGAGTTCATGCATATAAGAGGGTGTGCAGGAAGTCATCCGATCCAATTACAACTGACAGACCAAAATTGGCTATCCAATTGTAATTGGATTGGACCGGACCCAAAATTTCAACCATATGGTTTTATGATTGAAAGCCTGGTTATTGATCTCAACCCCTCTTCTTGTGGATACTGTATATGCACGTGTTGTTAGGATACTTATAACATGTACCAAGAGGCCAACTTTGACTCTACATATCTCTTTAGGTTAGAAGCAATATTATTATTAGGTCTTATTTTTAATTTCTTTCATGGCAAAAGTCAAAACCAAACTATATGATCAGTAGTGATGATGATACAGCAAGAGTGAAATGATTTTATGCCAGTATCTTTTTGCTAAAGATTAAGAGGGTGTCTTGTTAGTGATCCTGTTCTCTTGTAAGGATGGCACATGACTAGTTTTAAGCTGACCTTATTGAAAAAAGGTCCCAACCTTTTGTGGTGCCTTTTCCTTGTTTCATTTCTGCATCAGACCCAACACCCTTGTGATTAGTGATCATTCTACCTATTTCTCCCCTCCATAAATTGTTGAGCCTGGCTTAGAATAGATGTCTCTTTTTTATTATTTGACCAAGGAACAAAACTAACCTCAGTCTTATCTGTTGCGTTTTTTATTCCTATAGCATTTGAGAAGATCTTCTGAGTCTAGCTCTTCAAGTTCATCATCTGAATCCTCAAGTAGTGATGATGATTCGAGAGAATCAAGAAGGTCAAAGAGAAAGAGGAAAGACAAAAGGCACAGATCAAAATCCAAGCATGATGAAGAGGCAGATGGCCCTTTGCCACTTTCGAGGTTCTTTGGGAGCACAAAAAGCTGATGTAATGTGTTTTTGATTATGTGTGAGGTTGATTATTTGCGCTGCAAATGATGTAATGCCAAATCATCTATTTTCGACTTCTTTCTGCTAATACAGGATATGATTATGTTCTACAGTGTAGCATCCTGTAACTGTGAATTGAAATTGTTGAAGATTTGTAGACTCATAATTAAAATCGTTCATTGAGGTCAAGTAAAAGTTTGTTTCCTTCAAGGCTGAATGTCATAAATGTCCTATATGCTGTAGATAAACACTAGTCTAGTATGCTTTAGGTGTATGAGATGAATTTTTCTTTTTGAGGATGAGGACATGATGCTGATGTCCATCCGTCCAGGAACGCATGTTGTAACCTTCCCAACCATTGTTTATTTAAATTTTCTAGGCGTTTTGCCTCGAGATTCAGATTTGTATTAGACCTAGAGGCTACTTACCGAACAAGCTCTTATCGGGGTGCCGTTTACTCCCCCATCCCATTAAAATATGTCAATTAACATTACATGCATATACATATTAGTGATAAATATTCGTGATATATATGATTAAAATACCCTTTAATCGTAGGAAAACAAGGGAGAAAGCGTTTTAAAGTGACTTTAGATTCAATATTAAAATTGTTAAAAATACGCACTATATACATACATAAATATGACCTACATACATACATACATACATATATGTACGTATACACATGTGTTTGTGTGTATAGGGTGGGTTAAAATGAGAACCAAAAACTCATTAAAAACCCGGGGAACCAAACTATTCATGATGAATAACACTAAATAATGAAAATTATTCATGATGAAGATAGATATTCATGATGAAAATACATGATACATATGATAAAAATGCATTAAATCATAAATAATGAAAAAACAATGATATTTATGAGGTACTCATGATGACTTGATAAATGTAAAATTAACCGAAACAAAGTTTAAAGTTTGGTAAACTCAAGATGAAATTGATGAACATACTAAACACATCCAAGAATCTTAAAGGCTAATATGCAAAAGAGGGGAAGAAGGATATGCCGTTAAAGGAACTTTTGCATTGCATGATAGTGAGACATGTGGTCAGTAAGATGATTGTGATGTATGAACCCATATACTCTAAAAACCAACTCTGTAAGTTTCAGTTTGAATAAAAGTATCAATCGTGAATTCAGAAGTACACTACAATTAATCAATAATGTACGTGCAATATATATATATATATATATATATATATATATATATATATATGCGCATATGCGCTGAATGCTTATTAATTATAGAAATATTTGGTTATATCGAAATCTCCTGCTGAAATTTTATACTTGTTGAGCTTATGTTTAGAATGAGTTCACTACTTGTGTCAAAAATCCTTGACAGGTAGTAAATGGACATGTAGGTTTAGGTTAAATTTTCAATGAAGTGAGTTGTACGTACATTAGGACTTATTGCCTTGTACACATTTTTGTTCTCCCTTGTCATTTTTTTTTTGGAAAGGGGACTGGGGACGGAACCCCGGGAAAACTTTATGATTTGAGTATTCCCTTGTCAATTTGAGTACCTATGATTTGGTGTAAAGTAGATAAAATGGTACCGTTAAAACTGAAGGGGAAGCCCTAAAGACCAGCTATGTTGTATGGTTGAGAGTGTTGAGCAGTATAAAGAAGGCGCAAGTGAAGAAATTGGAGGATGTTGAGATGGACGTGTGGCCATGCTGGATAGGATCCTGAATGAAGTTTACAGATCGGAACTGGGTTCACAAATAAACTTAGAGAGGGTAGATTGAGGTGGTTTGCGCCTATAAAATCAGTTTGACTGCTAACAGTTGCAAAAATCTTTTGAGTGTTAACCGGCCACAATGTTACATGTTGGTAATGATATGGTTCAAGAAGCATGATTTCAACCTTAAGCATGTTAGTAATTCAATACTCACCTGTTATCTGTCCACTGAACTTGATTGTTGGTAGAAAGACGAGCATATTTCTTTTGACACAGTTTTCTGAGAAATATCAGAAGCATTTTGGCCCTCTGTGATATTGTTGGCTCCCTCAATTCTTATGTTTACCACAATTCAACTATGAACTGGAACATCTACCAGCGACCAAAGAAAAAGCTGATCAAGGAAGAAAAGCTTTGGCTGACATAGGCGAAGTTGAATAATGAGGAGATCAAATAGAGATGACATTTCTAGAGCCTCTAGTTCGTCTAATATCAATTCTATAATGACCACAAGCCAAGGATCACAACTTGATACAAATATCAAAATTGATAATCATAATCCATCCATAAAAACTAAATTTATACACAAGAAATATAAATTCAACTTCAGTTATAACTCCTCAAGAACACCATAGAATTAATGAAAAATAGGTGATAACCTAAAAATACTTTTTATTTGAATTTACCAAAATGTGTACGTGTCATATAAACGATCCTAGTCCTTGATCCCTCTCCAAGAGGAAAAGTAGTGAATGAATAATCCAATATGGTGTTTTATTTATTTAATATTATCATCAAATAATATCTATATTTTATTAGCATTATTATTAAATATTTAAGAATATTGGTCCTAAAGATTTGATAAATGTGTTAAAACATAAATTATTTTTATTTATTTATAAAATCTTTTAAAACTCTAAAAATGAATACATGAGAAGAAAACATTTGGTTTTGATTTAATACTTCATTAAACCTCCAAGGTCAAGTGCACAGCTAGCTACAGGTGAATTTTATTATGAAATCATATTTTTATTCCTATTGGTGACGAATTTTCTAACAAAGCTAATAAAGTAATTAGTTTTGCCCATCAAGAAACTAAAGGCATCATTGATAATGGCAAACGGATGTAGCATCACCTCACCTCACCTCACCTCACCTATATAATAATTTCATAATCACCCTATTATTTATTTTTTTGAAATTATTGTAATACCAAGTGCAATTCGGGCAAATGATTGTGTAAAAAAAGGAAGTTAATGATAAGAAGCATAAGAAGAGATTTTCATCCTGATCACTCTTAATTTAATGTTCATCTATGAATTGCGCTTTAAAAGGAAGTTGATCTGGTACATCTCAGTATATCTTATTAGTGTTGACATTAGATTAGGTTTAGGTTTGATCCAAGGATGAAGATATTACAACAACCTCCCTTCTTACCGGACCCAACTCATTTCTTAAATTATGATTGTCAGTTATGAACAAAATGTAGATGATTATTTGTGTTAAATAGAAAGTAATCATGACTAGGAAGGGAGAATAAACATAAACAGAGAGAGAGAGAGCAGTACCCAATTTGAATTTTATTACTAGGAGAGGAGAAGAGACGATTGATAATTAGAATGAGAATGAGAATGAGAAGCATATTAATGATTTATATAATGCTATTCAGCTGCTGCTGGATTGATGAGCTTCCCTTTCTCCCTGAGCTGAGCCATACTCTCTTTCATTGCTTCCTTCCTCTTCTTACTAGCTATTACTTTAGCCAACACACCACTTATATTTGGATCCTTTTTCTCCGTCAGCGGAGTCGGAGGAGGCCGCCTTGCTGCTGCATCTGCACTCTTATTAGTACCAATCAACCCATACCCAAACACTGCACCAACCAACCTCAATCCAACATCCCTCCTGCAACATAATACATGGTTTTTTTGGTTTCTCATTAATCTTTCTTTTCTTCTATCATCATATACAACTACTAAACAGATTTTATTACCTGCTGCTAACAGATTGTTGGGAATTTTTGAAAGCTATTCCCGTACATGGAGATGGAGTGGCTGTTGAGATGGTTACCCAATGGGCCATGATAGATAAGAGCAATGTCTCATGAATTGAATTGAATTGACCACCTATTTCAACTCCACATTCATCTTCCGCCTCTTCCTCATTGGTTGATTCATTGATTGTGGATAACATTCATACTCATGTGGACCTCATTAATATTATCCAGACTGAAAATACCAATATGCCCTTAACAATTCAAACCTATTATATGCATCTCTTTGTGAAAATCCCCACAAAACAAAACAAAACAAAAATATAAAATCAAATTCATAAAAGAACCGACACTTTACCATATCCCAAGTACAATTGTTTCTGGCTGGCTCTAGGTAAAGAAAACTAAAATAAATAAGACGATAAATAAAACTAGTAGGAATAATATCATCATCAACTGACCCTTCATACCAGCCTTCTTCATTACCATACCCACTTTTTTCTGCACAAACAATAATAATAATAATAATAATAATAATAATAATAATAATAATAATAATAATAATAATAATAATAATAATAATAATAATAATAATATTAGCATCACAACATAACAACTTCAAGAAAAAATAAACTGAAAATTACCTGCACAAAATCAAGGCGGTTTGATGTGCTTTCCATCTCCGTACCCAATTCATCTATAATCTGATCCTGAAGCATCACATATAATTTAAACCAAATGACACGAGTAACAATTCTAGTTAGCAATCAATGGCACCTTCACTGCATTTTCCAATTTGAATTGAATATATAGGACCAGCCAAAATGATGGTCACCTGAGCCAATAGTTCTTCATGTATGGTAAGACCAACATTTCCTATCCTTTGAATGCCTTCACTCATCTCATCCAGTTCTTCATCTTGTTGCCTTCAAAAACCAAATCAGGCATCCATGCTAAGTAATAGACAAAGCCTCACATATACAAATGAGGAAGGTAACAGCAGGACATAGTGTAATCTATAATAATACTACAACAATACAACATATGCTTTACGAAGTGTCTGCTATGACTACTTACCATCCTTTTCACATAACAATACCACAGTCCCCAATAGAACTACAACTTTTTCTTTCTTGGTCAAGTTAAACAACCAATTTGCCCCCATTGTAACCAGTACAAAGTACTTGGTGCTCATTTTAGTTTATGAGATTTGTCCTCGTAAAGGGTAATCAAGTACTCTTATTGATTTTTGAGCCAAGTCAAACACTAAGATTCTAGTGAAATGGAGGGGATAAAAAATAACAACTGAGGCCACAATCCACCCATTCCATGTCAACAAGTGTATGCTCACATGTACAGGGAAAGAAAAAAAACGACGGTATTGGTTCTCCTTTGTAGGGGAGCAAACTGGTGGAATATCGTGTGTTTTGATTATTATGAATCAATCTCCTATAATCTGTGATTCTATCGTGTATATTCCCTCCATAGATAGAGAGATTTATCGTATAGATTCATTTTCTCTTTGGTAACGTTTTCCACTTTTTGTATATATAATGGTGTATCATTCTATTCAACGAAATTATCAAAAATAATTCCAACGCTCTTAGCTTCATCCTTCATAAATGTGCAGCAGTTTATCTAGCAGAAGTTATTGGCAACATAAATAATGTAGATAACATATACAGAAAATCATGCAAGTGAAAACCAAAAGAAAGGAAAAGTGGGTAATTCATGTACTTTATGAGAAGCATTTGTCTATCTGATTCAGAGGAGATGAAATCATCATTCTCTCCAGCAATATACTGAGGTGTTCTATCCTGCTGTTTAGAATGTGGTACCCTCATCAGTTCTCGGCGTTCCCCGATCTTATTTGAAATGCTTTTGCCATTTAAGTCTTTTCCACCCACTGCTTTCTTCACATTTCCCACCTGATCCAATAATAAAATTCAACAGAATTATATAGGTGTTTAAGAGAAGGAACATGAAAATGTACATTCAACCAAAGATGGTAAAAAGCAAAGCAAAGTAGGTTTGACAAAAAAACTTTTTATGAGGTACATAAAGAACCTGAGTCCGGGCAATGCTGGTCCATCTCCTTCTTTTTCCAAGCTCAACTTCATTGATGCCAAACCATGCAGGATCTCTTGCTGCAACCGAAATTGTCTTCTCTAACTCATCTACCTTCCTATCAGGAAAACAGCATTCAGGAAACAAAACTAAATGCATTTATGATAGGCCAATAACAATGATGATCATCATATTGGAACCACTAAAAACTCCATTGAGGAAGGTCCATAAATGTTTAATATTGGCTAGAGATCAAACATGGAAACAGGTAAGTGCAATCAATAACCATAGATAGTAAAGGAATGAA